ACAGTCGAACATGCTTTGACAACCTTGTTAATGGGGAATACCTTTACCTTTAACATGCACTAAGCTCTGTCATGAAGTAAATTTCTTTGTATTCAGAATACAAGGGATGAGGGGGGACATAGCTGATTCACTGAGTAAATTGTAACAGTTTGTGATGTTGTAGAATAGTGGGGAGTCATGGAGAGGGGAGTCTTCCTAGGTCCAAAGGATCCCCACAGAAGGGAGAATTGTTGGCACTGTATTCGTGCTCAAATGCCATCCCTGATCCATTGTAATGCTGTCTTGTCTTCTGATTTCCCCCACCCTATCCTGTCTTATTTAGACAATGAAATTGTGTGCTTCCTTAAAGTCCAGCTAGCTGAAGCCATCAACCTTCAGGACAAAAACCTGATGGCCCAGCTCCAAGAAACAATGCGTTGTGTTGGCCGCTTTGACAACAGGACTTGCCGTAAACTGCTGGCCTCAATTGCTGAGGATTACAGGTGAGCCCTTCGACGGAGACCTCTTATGAAGCCAGTGTTTTATCCATCATTTTTAACAATTCAGGGTGGAAACATATTGTCACTTCTTGTGGGATACTATTATAAAATTGTTACACTGACAGCCTGGAGATTGTTTTCTGTTTCTGTAAATGTTGGGGTTTCTCCTAATTCTGCTGATAAATGGTGATTCCTTTCCAGTTACAGAAAGATCCATGAATGGAGACTGAGCTTGCTATTAATAAATAATAGGAATGAGCAGACTTCAGCCTTGTAGGATTACTTGGGTTTTTAAAAAGTATATCCCTGATATCCATCAAACAGAATTTGGAGCTGAAGTATCAGAACTGACCTAAACATACCCAGAGTATAGGAAAGCCTTCTTGTGAGTTCGTTTGAATCTGGTCCTTTGAAGGCTGTTACAGAAGAATCCTCTTTCAGAATTCAGTTTGTGTTTGTGGGGGGGGAAAAAACATTGAAACTGTTGCCATGTCTTACTGTTTTGTTCTTTGTATAAAGATTCACGAGAAGTATTAATGGCCCCTTTATTGCTGTTTTACACAGGACGTCCAGCCAATTTTCATGTAACTTTCCTCTGTACGAGCATACTAAAAATAACAATTTTTAAAGCAATTACTGCTAGAATAAGGGCAATAGTTAAGTCCCAAATTTTGACTGCACATTTACACACACAGCTTTAAAATGAACTTAACAGTCACATTTGCATCTTAAGGTCTTTTAGCTACACTGTTTGCATTTTTTTTTTTAGTATCACCGTTATATTTCAGATTTTTTTAAAAAATAAGATTGTTTTAATATTTGTATCAGTAAGCTTTTATGTTGTATTATGTCTGCTGGTATGTATTGTGTTGTATTTGTTCTAATTGAACTGGTCATTGGCTCAATGCAAATGAAATTTGGCTTGACGTCATAGTACTTTCACATAGAAACTCCTTCCTGGTTGTTCTCTTTTTCTCACATGAGCACAACCATCTCCTCCTCATTTTCTTCATTTCAGCAGTATAATAATCAGTTTTGGGAAGACTGACATAAATAATATATTCAAATGGATTATGGAGTCCTGATGAAATGCATTTATTAAAATGTATATACTGCTGTTTTGTCATTTTGTTCCAGGTGGTTAATGACATTTCCAATAGAATAATCATTAAAATGGGTGTGTATGTGTGTGTCAATGAAAGATAAAATGAACCAGCAAAAAAGAAATTTATTACCTTTATGTAAGTGATGGGTTGACAGCAAGAAGTACATTGCTTTGAGAGAAGCACACAACTCCTCCCTATTTCATCCCTGTTTGGGAGAGCAGATGATTTTGTCCATTAATATTTATTTTGTTTAAGAAATACCTTGGCAGATGTTCACAAGTGCCTTTCGCATCCCAGTGTTACACTTCTCATGGGCTATTTGGTTACTCCTGATTTTATTGGATGCCATGAAAGTAACCAGTCCTTATGTCCTCTGAGGGTGGGTCCAGAAGAGTATTTTTAAAATACATACATCATTTAAAATACCAAATCACCCCTGGATGCATTTTGGACAATATACTCAAGTGATCTCTAGGGGGTTCAGAATGTTTTTATTTGCTTGTACAGGGCTTACCTGACCTGGGCAGTTCATTTCACATGCAAATATTGTTAGTTCTGAATAAAAGGTTTGCTGAAACAGATTGACCTACTCTTTTTTTTTTTTTTGTGGTGTAGGCACAGCACAGTGGTTTAAGTGTTCGATTAGGTCTCTGGAGAACAGGGTTCGATTTCCCGCTGGGCCCTGCAATCCACTGTGTGACTTTGGGCAAGTCACACTCTCTCAGCCTCAGGGGAAGGCAATGGCAAACCTCTGAACAAATCTTGCCAGGAAAACCCCATGATAGGTTCGCCTTAGGGTTGCCATTAAGTTGGAAATGACATGAAGGCACACAACAACAATATTAACAACCAAGGAATCTAACCCTGTTCTTTCCATGTTAATTTATGCCTCTGGAACCAAAGATTCTATTAAAGAAGTAATGCCCAGAAACACATTCACTTTGTTAACCGAGATATACCAGTGCTAAGCTGTTGGGATATCGAGACTGTTGATTTCTCTGTTGCTATTATTTACTGTGACTGACAGCTTGTTCTACAAGGGCCAAAACAAATACATTGGTAGCCAAGATCCTTTTGAATCAAAGATGGTCTGGCTCAAACCTGGTATCTTCTGCATGAAAAAGATGTGCATTGTAACTGAGTTCTATGCTCTCTTTTCCTCCAGGAAAAGGGCTCCTTATATTGCATACCTGACACGGTGCCGCCAAGGCCTGCAGACCACCCAGGCCCACCTGGAAAGGCTATTGCAGCGAGTCTTGCGAGATAAAGTAGTGGCCAACCGATACTTCACCACTGTGTGTGTGCGGCTGTTATTGGAGAGCAAAGAGTCAAAGATAAGGGAGTTCATTCAAGGTAACCACATCTGCATTATTTTTGAAAGCTAACACACTGGATGGTTTAACTGAGTGGTTAATGGATTAGAGTCTTGGGTACAAATCCCTACCTAGTTATGAAGCTTACTGGTTACTGAGTTTCAGTTTAGCTT